TAGAAAGAACAGTATCATGTGACTATTGCTGGGCTTGGTGCAATACTACAATTATGAATCAGTACAAATTTACCCTTATGCTTTGAGTCCTGTGTTTTCCTCCTAAGTATATTTTGTCCAGAGGAGCCTCAAACAAATATACAAACCTTGACGTATCACTTTCTCTCTTGGCGTAAGTACACTTTGTATGTACTTTTGTCTTGATTTACAACAAGAGTACATCATTTCACAATGCATGACAGTACCTGGTCAATCGTGGTGAACCTTGAAATATTTGTCATCTCCTTAAAACCGGGTACATACATTTGATGCTATGTAATCAATATTGTTTTTCAGTTGCTATGTAGGGAAAGTTGTGGCTACACCAGACACACTGCGCCTGTGATGAACAGAAAAAAAAACTAAAACGTTGTGGCTTCGATTATGACCAAATTTTGTAGGCGCTTGCAAAATTTGGATAACAGCCGATGAGCTCCATATAAACAAAACAAAAGATGTGCTCAATAGTGCATAAAAGTTTGAGCACCAAGTTTGTTATTTTATGTATAGAGCTCCTCGGATATCATTTGGCCATCAAATTTTGTAAGCACCTACAACATTTGGTCATAATCTAAGTCATAAAGTTCCATAATTTTTTAATTTTGTTTGCTTTTTTACTGTTCACCGTGGTGCAGTGTGTCTGGATGTAGAACAACCACGCTCATGCTATGTAACCACTCCTTGGCTCTTAGTGATTTTTCGGCTCCCCACTAATCCCATATTATAAGACTATTTAAAAAGTGTATTTATCCTAATCCAAAAACCATAAAGATTCAGTTGGTGATGATGGTACGTCTATCATCCACAGCAAGATTTTTTTTTTAAAAACAAGCACATGCTTAGAGAAATTCATAGGGGCATGTAGGCGCAGGGGCACACACCTGCCCAGCCGTGCCTGGCCGCATGGTTGTTTCGCAATCTACAATACCGGTGGATTCCGCATGAGGGCACACCAAGTTTTTAATTTTAGTTTGTGAAACTTGATGATTTTGGCATTCGTTCGTATTAAGTTTCGGCATTTCAAACTTGATGAAGTTTTCAAAACTTTTCAAAACATATTCAAAGGTGGTTTTATTTCAAGGCCCTCGTCATAAAAAACACGAATATGCAAACAAAACGTAGTTTGTACTTTTGGTTCAAAAGACATGCAAGATTGTGAAATGAAAGCCAAAAAAAAAAAATGGGTCGGTGCCTCCGCAAGTACGTGCTACAAATTGCATCCCTAAAGCTTGCAAGAAAACTGAGAACAGAAAACTACTCCCTTCGATCCATATTAATTTACGCAATAGAGTTGTACTAATTGTACGTTAATTAATTTGAATTGGAGGAAGTAAGAAAACAAGATAAACCATTCTAATTATTTGGTAACTCAAACTTGGCAAACTGGAGCAAAAACTAACCAACGGTCGTAAGCGTGATAAGTTGGTAATAAAAGGACTTAGAGTGACAAGGCTTTAGTTAATTAGCTACTACCTTTGTTTGATTTCCACGGCTCTCTTTTTAACTTGCTTTCATAGTTATCTGCTGTGAAACGCCATTCTAACTCGTTGTTTGCATGTTTCAGTATTTAACATATTTCAGAGTAATTAATGCATGCTATATTTATGGTTAAAGTGAAAATTGCTTTTGGAGGCCTAGCTCGCTCTATGGAGGCCTCCATTTGTAATTTTCAAAATACAACAAAATTCATATTTCTTAGTTTCAAAAAAATCTGAAAAAATACAGATATACATGGAGGCACAACACACATATATGTAATTTTTTAGGACGAAATACATTGAATGAGGGCTGTGCAAAAAGAAAATCTGGGGTTCTTTAGCACATGATATTATTCATCCTGTTTGTCTTTTTTGTAAAGGTTGCGTTTCAACATATTTCATTATAAATATTTACACACACACACATCACATCACATCCTTATCTACTTGTACAATTTATTTTCGAATTTATTTGAAACAGAAAAAATAATTTTTGAATTTTTCAAATATTTCGGCCTCCATGGAGGCCGAGCTCCAAAACGCCCCACTTTTTAAAGTGGTGGTTTTAAATCTTAACATGTGTGGATGCATTATAAATTAGAACGGGTGGTGTATTTCCGTCGACGCAATGAGGTTCCTTGTTCATGATTAATATTATTTTTTTTTGCGAGAAATTGTTCGTTTTTTTTCCTTCTGAACTTTGGGTACTCGTATGAATTCCACCTGTTCGTGTATTCGTGCATTGCGGTTCAGTGCATGCAAGACACGCCGATCTGATCGCTTTTACTTCCCCTTGCGTTACGTATTTTAGCTGATGCTTGTTCTAGCTCGTGATGGTCTCAAATCCCAGAAGGTACTAGCATCATCTTGTTTCATTGATTGGAAGTGACCGATTATCATATAGTACCAGTACCTTGCCCAGTTTTAATGTGAAAAGAACATGGCCTATGGTCATCATGCAGCTCGGGTCCAGGGTCAGGATGACCTGGTCTGATATGATCCGATCAGGTCGCCGGTCGGGGTAGGCCAGCCTTGTCGCCTCCCCATTTTTCTGTTTGTCGTAACTAGATGAAGTCATTGGATTCTCTACATTTACTCGTACCGTTCCTTGCTCCAGCTTACATCCTTGATTAGCATGCACACAGGAGAGGAAAACAGTTGCTTGTTCATGAACTACAGGATGATAGTTCATCTCGGATGGATGTGCCGTACACGTGTGCTGCTGACGGACAAGCTTGCATCACGAAATGATCAGGCATTCAGGCAAAAAACGAAACAAGAAACAGTAGCCCAGGCAGCACGTACGCCGGGCCGAAGTTAATGCTCGGGTAGGGGCACGCCGTGACCGTGACCGTGGCCGGCGGGACGGGATCGAGGAACAGCAGGACGCCGCCCCACGAACAACACGTCGTCTTGTGACTGACTGTGAGGCTCTCTGCGTGGGTATCGGACGGGACGTACAGTAGAGACCACCCACCGACCCCGGGGCGCTCCCACGGAAATTTACTACCCCTCACCAAGAGCCGCCGATCGACAGATATGCTGCCTACCGGTACCTTGCGCTTGCGGAGTGCGCGGTGTAGTTCCTCCCAATCCACACTGGGCCAAATTTCGTGTTTGGATTCTTTTGTGAAAGTTTAGCTGAATCTGACCCTGATTTGAAAAAAAATCAGAATCTAACCCTTTTCCTACCGTCGTAGTCATTAACGGTAGGGTTACACAACCTACCACCAAAATCAATGACGATAGGATTTAACTACGCCGTCACGGTCATTTAACGTGCAAAATATCCTACCGCCAGAGTAGTTGATGGTAGGCTGTGTAACCCTACCGCCATGGTACTTGACAGTAGGCTATTTCACTATTACGAGATGAGTGCATG